TTTGTGACAATGAAAATAGATTTTCTAAAAGAAATTGCCCTAAATAGGACTAAAACATAGAGAAAGTACCAAAATAGGAATTTTATGTTTTTATTTCCTAAATAGGAGTTTGCACTGTAGTAATGTGACACTGTACATGTACATTTTACGTAATGTACAAGGTCATGATTGACAATGTAAATGCATTTTAATTCCTATTTCGGGAATAAAAACATGGAACTCGTATTTTGGTATAGTTTTAATGTTTTACTCCTATTTTAATCTTTTTTCCATTTTCTATTATAACAAGCTCTTTTTGTTCAAAAGAGAGAGAAGTTTTGTAAATGAATAATCATTAAAAAGTGAAACATTTTTGTGAGAGTAATGTATGACTCTCTTATAAAATAGCATTAGAGATCAGCGTTTTGATTAGATTATCTAACGACATCCTTTAGCATTAACATTTTCAAAGTTAAACTACATCACTTAAATTTTATTTAAAACGTTAACGCTAATCGCAAATGATGTTCTCAAACAAAGTTGAAAATCTCTCTCCCTCTCGAAAAAGTTACAGAGTACTCTTCATATAATCAACTATTATCTATTTTCTTTAACTGTTTTTGTTATCCATTTGATAAAATAAAATAATTCCATTATCTCTTATTTCATAAATTTTTTCATGCAATTCTTAAATACTTGTATATAAATTTAATTTTTAATTTCTTACTAATTTTGAAACAAATTAAAATGATAATATATTCAGCCAAACATTCTAAATAAGTTTCATTTAGAGAGGAAGTACAATCTTGGGCACCCGACACACATTGTGCGTCCAAGGCTAGTTTATTCATATACAAATATTAAAAAAAATTAGTATGGAAGAATACATTCAATTTCTTCCCGTCTCTTTCAACTCTTCCAGTTTTTCTAATCTTTTTCGAGTTTCTTCTAATGTATTTGTGAGGAAAATAATGGGTATATAAGCTCTTGAGTTGAACTAAATAAACAATTGAATTCAATCTTTTAATGTAGTTCATCCCAATTGTCTTATAACCCAATCCAGTAATCTCTACCCAATCCTAAAATTCTATCAGTATTCTAATTTCTTTCAACTCCTTGGAATAATCTTCTAACATTCAGCTATATTTTTGGAATGGAGAAAGCCTTCATCAAACAAACTTGTGATCAAAATTGAATCTTTCCCGTGGCTCTAAAATGGGTCGGCCAGTACTCCCAAATGTTTTGCGAATGACGATTAAGAGGCACAAAAAGTCATTGGTCAAAGTGTGAGGGGGTGACCGGACATCATACAAATATAATTGGGTGGGCCCGACTGAATTTGCTGTTCCGTTGAAAATGCACTCCTTTTTTTGGGCATGGAATCATTTTTTTTTTGACTTGTTTTTCAAATCCATAACGGCTTTAAGGTAGTAAACGCCAAATACTGCCCATGGGAACCAAAACATAATTCCTATTTAAGACCTTCCACCAGCCCATATGGTCTTTTTGTCAAAAAAGCACTCTATGCCCCTCAAATTTACCCTAGGTGAATTTTCTCTAAGTACTTCATCCATCCCAAAATATTTTTTACATTGTGCAAAATAAAGTGAAATTTCATTTTTTCAATTTGTTTCAAATAGAAAATAAAAGTTATACATTCAAAAACTATGTAAAAATTATACAGAATAAGAGATGAAAAGAATATTTTATTTATCAAATACTCAATGAAGACACAGAAATAAACAAAATTTTCTTTGATTTTTAAATAGTAAAATGTGAAGGTCCTTTTTAGAAAACGGAGTAAAAGAATGTATTTCACTGGTTGTGCTTCTACCGTAGAAAACTTAATGTGTTGCATTTTTTGTGGTCTTTTCGGGTACTCTTTGGATGTATTCTTCCATCCTAATTGTCTTGAAACAATCTTTTCGGTACACTTTTTGTGCTCTCAAGTTTTTTTTGGAGAGCTAAAGTATGAATATATCTCATACAGGGTAGAATTCTGTCAGTAATACTTGCAAAAACTCTTTAAAAAAGTGTCTTTGATTTTTAAATACTGAAATGTGAAGATCTTTTTATGGACGGAGGAGTAAAAGAATGTACTTCCATCATCTAAGATCAATCAAAATCGAGGCATTATATACCAAGTATATATATGTTGAAGTGTTCATGGTGCTCCATGAATATGACACATTGTGTTTGGGTTTGTGTCGATGTATTTTAGTGCGTGAGGTTTCGGGTACATATGTTTCATTCAAAATCTATTTTTTGTTAATCTTGGTTTTTTGAATAACATATAACATTGGTTGTTGATTTTTTTAACTGATTCTTAATGAATCACGCTTTTAATACTTTTAATTGATTTTGAAAATCAAATTCCAATTGAGAGAATAATTATAGATAGAATTTGAAACAAACATAGATCTTGTACTCTTCAATTTATTCTTATTATTATTTATTTTTATTGGAATTGAATCATACAAGGTCAAGTCATATCAGAATTTATTCTAATCAGATCAGAATCAATTAAGTCAGATGAAGAGAACAAGTTCATAGTACCAACTAGTTCATTAAAGTTAAACATGCTATACGTAGAAGTAAATTAGAGATTTATGGTTCTTTTTTTTTTAAGTTAGAAAAAAAATCAAATGTTTGAAGTAATTGAAAAAAATTAGAAAGAATTAAAAAAAAGAGAAGAAATTTAGAAAAAGTTAGAAGTTATTTTTTTAAAAAAGAACATGACCTTAGAGTAGACAATTTCCTCAAAACTTAGTTTGGTAACCAAATGGGGTGGGACTAAATCTACACAAATTTTTGCTACCTCCACCTTTTTATTTTTAATTGATAATTTTGCCTTCAAAATTTGATTTTCATCTAATTTTGCCCCACTCATTCCGAAAGAGGTAAATTCGGGCTCCTCCAAAATTTCTGTATAACTTAATAGATGTATAACATAAAGACATCTTTGAATTTGAATCAAATTTCATTTTTGGAAATCTTTAAGTTTTGATTTTAGATTTGAAGAGAATTTATCTATTTCTTAACAAATACACCCAACATGTTCCCCCGTCAAGAAATTTATCACCAATTTTATCACTAATTGGTAATGGAAAATGCTAGGAGTACACCAAAAGTGTACCCCAAACATCCCCCACCCCTCCATCACCACACAAAAAAGGCAAGAAATTTTCAAAAAAATTTAAAAATAAAAACAAAATAAAATGAATGGTTAGTAGGAGAGTGGTGTACATTTGTGGTACACTTTTTGGTGTACCCCTAGCATATCCCATTGGTAATTGCTCCTACGGGTATTACTTTATTTTAAAGACAGACATTATTTCACTTTATTACTTTTTATTCTCACTTTTCTCCTTAATCAAAAGGGAAAGAAATGTTTACCATTTTCTCTTTATTTTTCTCTTCATCCAAACAACACACTTTATTCTTACATTTCTCTTCATTTTCTCCTCTATATTTTATTTCTTCTCATTTTCTTTCATAATCCCAAGAGAGCATTAAATTTAGACACAAAAAAAATACGGTTGCACAACTTTTTAGTTTTTACTCTATAAAACTAACAATTCAATAATAATAATAATAATAATAGTAATAATAATAATAATAATAATAATAATAATAATAATAATAATAATAATAATAATAATTAAAAATTATTGCCCACAAGCCAAAATAGTAGGTCACCAAATAGGTCCTAAAGATTTCCAACTCCACCTCATTGTGGCTCTCTGCATAGCAAGATCAAAGGAAAGACCCCATCAGGTGCCAAAAGAGGCAGTCCCAACAGTCAAATGTTACAAACCATGTTTGCCAAATAGAGAGATTATCCTTTCATTAAGTCAGAAGATTAGGTTGAGGTCATTAGTGAGCACTAGAGTCACTTTCAAAGCAGGGTCTGATTGGGAAAGAAATGCCAATGCCACAACAGCACAAATCACTTTGGATGGATTACCAATTCCTTGGAGCAAAACATCTCTCTCCACCCATGTGATTAATTAAACCAGTAAGCTGGTCCATTTCAAGCCTGTCCTACATTACAAGTCTTCCCAAGTCATAAAAATGTTCTTTTAGAAAACTTGAGGCACCCCCACATCTGTTGGTTTACCCCAATCCTTAGGGTCTGTTTGGAAGTTGGGCTTTGGAGAGCATCAGAGGGGAGTGTGGTTCACACTTCACAGAGCTAAGTTTAGTAAGCTAAGTGTATATCTTGTTATGTACTAGTGTATTTAACAATTCTTATAAAGACTGAAGTTATGACATAAATGTTTTCTAGGTTAAAATCTCTCGGAAACAGTCTCTCTACTCCTAAGTAGGGCTAAAGATCTGCCTATGCTCTCAACCCCAGACCCTACGTTTTGTGGGATTCTACTCGGTTTGTTTGTTTTTTAAGTTATAACACAATGCCTAATAATAAAATACTTCAGTCAAGTAGTCAACCTTTATTCATTTCTAGAAACACTCCATTTATAAAAAAAAGTCAAGATAGACTAGGCCATGCAATGTCTTCCCCTCCAAAATCCTCCCTCAAAGCATACCCTTACTGGGGAAGTGATGACTAATAGGCCATAGCTAGTACTAGTTGGAACCTGCTTGATCTCCAAACGTGGCTTATTCCGCTAGTTCTATGTATCAGTAGTGTACTTAGCTTTTGACTTATTTAAGTGAAATGGATTTGACAAAACCCTTTTCAGTCATAAACCAAATAACACTAACCATGGATCTTTAGGCATGACACTATGATATACAGGATTCTAAAATTCGTTAAAGCACTAGCCAGATGTTCAAGAACTTCTTGATTGCTACTTAGAATTGTTTCTATATGTATCTTTATTAAGTCACATTCCGTCTTATGAAGGTTGGGACACAAAGGCATCAAGTATAAACCATCATATTCCTTCTACTTTCATCACAATGAAAGTCTTGATAGAATATTAGAATCAAGCTATTTTGGTCACAATAAAAAGGTTCTTTTCAATATTAATGACCAACGTTCATAATTCAAAGTAAACCATTCAAGAGATGCGAGTCAGTAAAAAAAGGCTCCATGAATTTCATTTCCAAACTCAGTCTAGCTTACAAATAAATACATATAGGAGTGGATAATGCTGCCGTTCATTCTCCATAGAGACCTCCACGAAGTCACATGAGTGATGAATCTAGTTGAAAGTCTAGTGAAAGCATATTGAATGTCATAGAATTCCATCACATTTCAGGAGAACACAGCTAAAAGAAGAAGATCAAGTAGTACCATTGCTGAAACACTAGATGAATTGACAACTGCTAGCCACAACCATGGGCATTGCTTAGCGAAGCCACTCTCATTTGCTGGTCTTAAGATCTACTCTTCTTGTGGAGAGTTTCTGGTGAGGAAGTAACTGATGGAGCGAATGCCCATGAATCATTAGAGCTTTCACAGCTGAAATATGCATCAAATACACCATCAGGACTGCCGGGTACATATTCATATTTGCGTTTACGGTTTTGGTAATGTGTGTCTCCATCACAACCATATGCCTCAAGAATAACCTTGTAGCATTCATCTACCTCTTCCTGTTATATAGTTCATAATCAAGATTCATTATACAGATCACGATATTCAAATATTGAGATGTTCTTTTTTTTCCAGAATGGCGATTTGAAGAGAAGATAATACCTTGCTGACTTTCAGTATGGAGATCAGTTCATCATTGTATTCAGCAGCATTGCAAAGTTCAATCTCTTCAAAAGCTATTAACATGATTGCAGTAGCAATAACAGACGGAAGATAATCCAATAGCCTATAATCTGCAGTTGTATGTGTGCCAATAAACAATCAATGCAATGAAAATCAAAGCATCAATTCTTAGTTTCTTATGGAGTACTATATTTGCAAAGCAACAAAATTTAAGCCCGAAACAGATAGATTCCTCACCAGCAATTACAGAAAGAATGATATGGTTACAACTCTTCAGAAATTCATGATGCAAGTCGGCCTTAAATCCGAATCTCCTAACAATATGGTCAAAAAAGGAGATCGGAGTCACCAGATTCATCCGCCACTTAAGGGTAGAGAGAATCAGAAGCTCCATTCTCTGAATAGTCTTTGCCTCAAACATATACTTCGAATCCACCACCTAACAAATCACACAGATTTAAGATATTACCCACGAGGGCATTTATTCAAACACATACAATGCAATCCATTCGGGTGAAAAAAAACAAACAAAACAAGAAAGAGAACTTATCAACATACTTGGAAGTCTAGTAGAAGGGGAACATCAATCTCCTCTACTTTTGCAGCAATAGAAAGACAAGCCACAGAAGCAAGCTGGCTCATCCATGGCTTATCCTTCTGGAAGGAAACGCCACAAATGAGCCTATCGAAATAGTTCACTGCCAAAACAGCGGTTAAGGCGCTGAACCCATAGTGTCCGACAACCTTAAACATCCAGTCCAGAGCCTCAGCTCTATCCGCCATTAAAGGGCCATCCAAATCAAGAACCCCAGAACCATGACACAGCTCCCTTTCTTTCGACAAGAGAGTCAATAGCTCGTCGTCCTCCCAGGAAAGGTCAGATTCGAATAAAGGAGAGGGCTTTTTCAGATTCTCGAAACGAAACCAACCACCGGAATCATCGGAATCGACTCTCTCCTCGTCGCAGAGGAGCCGATCAAGAGAAAAGATCTGGTTTTGAGGATGAACATCTCGATTTCCTCGCAAATGGGTAACAGAAAACAACATATTCTTCTTCTTCTTCTTCTTCTTCTTGTAGGAAGAAGACAGGAAAGCCTCTACTCATAATATTGAAGATAAGCTCGAACAAGATATCTGACCCAGTATCATATCTGCTGAGCACAGCGTTGCTTTCTCTCACTGTAGGACAGTAGAGAGAGAGAGATAAAAGATGGGAGAGAGGGAGGAGATGGGAGGGGAGGGGAGGGGGTACTAAAGCAGAGTGATTTTATCTGAGCTTGCTTTCACGCCTGCCTGTCCCTTTTTCCCCTTGTTTTACTCTACTCTCTCTCAATTTTCTACGACTTTCTTGGGTTTTTTTCCCTTCATATATTGGGTTTGGGCACTTAATTGGCGCGCAGGGAAAGTCGGAATACAATCGCACCAGGCCAACAGCATTCAGGCCTTCATTTTGGTGAGTATTGTAATACGGATTAGCCTGCTCCATATTGAGCATGGTGCTCAAATGGACCATCATGTAAGTCTATTTATGAAATTTAATTCACCTTGGTTATCATGACATTGGGATGACCCGGTGGTGCTCTGGTCTCCCGTTCGTAAAATTAACGGTTTCTACCTTTCTATCCCCCCGGTAAACCCCCCATCCCGCCCTGACCCGAACACACCCCCACCCCCTTCAATTGCACCCCACAAGTTGATTTTGACTTTGGAGTTTCCAAAGTCAAAATCAACTTGTGGGGTGTAATTGAAGGGGGGTGGGGGGTGTGTTCGGGTTGGAGCGGGGTGGGGGGTTTATCGGGGAGAGGGGTAGGAACCGTCAATTTTACAAACGGGGCACCGGAGCGCCCCTGGGTCATCCCATGACATTGGGAAAATGTCATGGGAACCTTCCCCAATTTAATTTCAATGGAAATCTTCTAATATACAAAGCTAAAATGAAAACATGAACAGTGCTAACTTCTCGCCTAAAGTTCTCGAGCATGGTTTGGGTATTAAGTTCGTGTATCGGATTTGGCAAAGAAAAAAATTAATTCGATTAGGCAAAACAATTTTTGATTGGGCTAATGGGTATTTGGTACCCGTGAAGGAATTTAAGGCATGTGTTGGGAAATGTATTTTGACGGCATGTGTTGAGACATGTGTTTTCACTTCAACCAACATACCTTATTTACTCACATGTCCCAACGTAAAATCATCATTGCTTTCTCTCCACAATGCATGTCCAAAATTAATGTTTATAAACAACCATTGCCAACACCTTCAATTTATTTCCACACCATTAAAGCTTTTCAAAATTTCATCTTTCCAATATGGCTCCCAAACGTGTTTTCCCTGGTCTCCTTACCAATCTTGGTGAGCTTGAAAAGGACCACAACAACATTGCTATCCACGTACAAACTATTCATGTCTATCACGTTGAAATTAAAGTTATGCACTCGAATAAGAAAGCGTTTACAAATGATTTTTTTGAAATATTCTAACTGTGCACTGAAACAAGACTTTTTTTATTTTCTTGCACATACTGCATTCAATTAAACTGTCCAACCATATTTTAAAGTGAAATTTGCAATGAATAGGACTAAAACATAAGTCATTTTCCAGTGTAGCACTTAAACTTTTTTATTTCATAAATAGGACTTAATAATGACTAGTAGAAGAATAATGTCCAAGTGATGCTGGACATTTAGTTGAATAATGACTGATTGGTAATGACCAATGGTCCTACTTTGGGAAATAAAAACATATGGTCCTATATTGAAAAAGTCATTATGTTTTAGTCCTATACTGGGATTCATTACCAAATAAAAAACCATACAATCTTAATCTTAATCTATACAAACGTGTGAGGAAAAAATGAATAGTCTTCCCACCCATTTTTTGGGCTGGGCCACTGCATTTGGGCTGCTAAAGATGGGCCGATTTTATTAGTGATGATGTGCCATAAATTGGGCTGGTCCGATTGTTTGGTTGTGCAGCCATAAAACTGTGTACTTCATCATTACTCTTTATGGAAAAATAAAAAATAAAAACTTGAAAAATGCATGTTTTATGTTTTCGAGAATCGAGAAAAAGAAATGTGTAACTCAAGGCAATCTTTATGTCTAATCGAATAAAAGAAAAGATTTAACAAATATATGCATTTAACGTGGAAAGTTGGGGGTCTTTTACCGATCAATGACGAATTGGAAAATTCATTCCCAAATGGTGAGGGTGGCTTCAGACATATCCCATCAATCTGGACATTGGAGCCCACTAGACCTGGCAAAACGGTCGGTCAGGTCGGGTTCGAGTTCGGTATTATCGGGTTCGGGTTATTTCGGGTTTGGGTCATTTTGGGTTCGGGTCTAAGAATGCTTGTTCATGACCCAAAGCTATCGGGTTCGGGTTGACTCAACGGGTTAAGAGACATATTTAGAAATTGAAAATTTTCCATTTAGAGATGAAGTGATCAATGCATTTTTCAAAGCAGAGAAAAAAATCATTCAAAACAACAACAAAAAAGTAAACATAGCAAAAAATTCTAAACATCATCATGTCCCAAATGAACCATCCAAGCACACTAATCAAAACACCAAATAATTTAGAGTTCAAACAAAATGATTAGAAGTTCATTCTCAAGTGAAGTCATCCCCCATATCAATTTGATGCTTATCACGAGTAGAACGCCTGAAATCCCACTCAATGCCTTTTTCAAGTTTGTCATGTTCATCTACATATTAATACAATAACACATATATGAAGAGTTAATTTGTAAGTGTAAAATAAATTGAGGCTTATATATTAAATTACCTTCATCAACATCATAGCCAAATATCCAACTACGGGTGGTAATCAAAGCTTCTGCATTCTCTGGCTTAAGTGATGCTCTCCACTTTGTTAAAATTCTACCACCTAAACTGAAAGCAGATTTAGATGCAACTGTGGTGATTGGTATGCTTAATATATCTTTTGCCATTTTTGCAACATCAGGAAATCCTTTAGCATTGTCCTTCCACCATTCAAGAACATCTAAATTTTCATTAGGACCCACCTTGAGTTCTTCCAAATATACATCCAATTGGGATTTAAACCTAGAAGTGGTCACTCCATCAAATGTTAAAAAAGCCTACATACAAATTTCAAAAGAGAAATGAACACCAAAAACACACACACACACACACACATATATATATAGATTTTGGATCAGGTGAGAATGCAATCTTATGAAAGAAATAAGAATGAATCTGGTGCTCTAGATTGTGAGATCTAAGGGTCAGGATTGCATGAAAATTAGGTGCACCAAAATGATTTGAAAATGCATCATGTCAAAATGCACTAAAATCCTTTAAAAATGCACTATCTCAAAATCTGAGTGCAGGATGCAATCTGAGCCGCACGATGCATCAGATCCAAAGGCTAGATTTTATTCTTATTTCTTTCATCAAGGTGCATTCTCACCTGAACCGCCCCCTATATATATATATATATATATATATATATATATATATATGCTTAAGTTTAAAAATCATGACTGAACAATAAGACTTATGGAGTATTAGATTAAATTATAAATAAATGTAAAATGAAATTATAAACATACATCTAGGTCTGCTTAGGTATTCCTTAAATTTGAATTCACATTGGTAGTAGGATCAACTGTTGAATACTCACCAAATAATTTAAAAAGTTTGTCATTCACATTTTCCACCTTCACTTCCTGCAGTCGTAGGATCTAAGGTTGTAAAACAAAATCTCACAAATTGAAGTTTATATCGAGGATCTAAAATTTCTGCAAATGAAAGTATCATGCTATAAGATTCCCAATACTTGTCGAATTCACTTTCATCCTCTTTGCCCTCTCTTATGCACATATCTGTCTCTATTATATCATCAGAATGTCTCTATTCTATAGACCATTTTTTATTATTTGATTTCCACAAATCAAGTCAATCTATCACAATCTTCTTCCAATCGTTGCACCTTGTTTTGGGTATGAAATGGGGCCTCTTGGGTCTAGTTTTCACGACCAAGGGTCCACTAGTTTCATGTTGCCTTTGATTACCTATGGCAACAATTTACACTTGTAGCTTTTTTAAGTTTAGTTATTCATATTAATTTTGTATTTTTGTGTAGTAAACACAAAAAGTATTGCCTATGAGTAGAGAAAAAACTAAAAAAGCTAAGTTTATTAGCTAGCCCATTAGAACTTAGAAGAGTGTTATACCCCAATGACCCACCCAACCAAGGATTTTATTTCTCTCCATCCCTTTCCAGATCTCCGTCGATCTTCTCTCCATCTCTGTCCAAATCTTCATCGATCTCTCAATTAATATTCACATTGTTCGAAGCATCTTTGTTTTCGATCCATAGACGCACACTGCACGAGGTATTTTCCTCTCTGTTTTTCTTTTTTATTTTTTTTAAAATTATTACTCTGTATATGAGATATTTGGATAATTCTAATTTGAAAAAAGAAACGATTATGGAGTTCATGTTCTAAATTAATATTGTCTAACCTCTAAAGTTTTTTTGTTTTGAATATCAGCACCCGGTGTATTATACGGCGAAGACGCTGAGGGGTGCCGAGCTCAGGTACTCAGTAGCCGAAAAGACGGTCCTGGCCGTGGTTTCAACCGTGCAGCGGCTAACACCCTACTTCCAAGCTCACCCGGTTCAAGTGCTCTCCCAACAACCCATTGGTGCGCTGCTCAAGAGCCCGAACGCGCCCTCGCGCATGTCCAAGTGGGCGGTGTTCCTTGGAGCTTTCCAGATCGAATTCAGGCCAAGGCCAGCGATCAAGGGCCAAGCGCTAGCTGACTTCGTGGTAGAGTGCACCGCTCGGGAGGAGGCGAGCCCAGAAGAGCCGGAAGCCTATGACTGGTGGATAGTTTTTACCGACGGCTCCTCCGCCGCCAAAAACTCGGGGGTGGAGTGGTAGTCATCGATCCCGAAGGCTTCAGAGCATACTACTCAATTCGATTCGGTTTCAAGGCATCAGACAATGAAGCGGAATATGAAGCGCTCTTGTGCGGGCTACGCCTAGCAGTCGGGATGAACGCAACAAAGCTAAGGGTAAAGTGTGATTCAAAGATGGTGGTTGGCCACGCCTCGGGAGAGTTCGAGGCGAAGGACGAAAGAATGAAGAAGTACAAAGATACTGCTCTAGAGTTACTTAAGAGTTTCACCGCGTATAGTGTGGAGCAGATCCCTCGGGCGAAGAATGCCGAGGCGGATATCTTGTCGAAGCTGAGCTCGGACACGCCTGAGCACATCAGGCGAATGGCGAACATGGTGTTGAAACGTAGTTTTTGGAGGAAACGTAGTTTTTGGAGACAACAGCAAAGGAAAAATAATTGGGGTCGGCTCAGTAGGTAAGTCCGAAGATTCGTCAGTAGATAATGTCCTGCTTGTTAAAGGTCTTAAACACAATCTCTTGAGCATAAGTCAATTATGTGACAAGGGAAACCGTGTGACCTTCGATTCAAAATCATGCACTGTAGAACGCCTTAGTGACAATAAGGTCATTCTACGTGGTGATAGAATCGATAACATTTATATGGTTAACTTAGACAAATCTCCTTCCGGCTTTGCTAAGTGCCTCATGAGTAAAGAGGAAGACACTTGGCTATGGCACC